TAAAACTCTGGCCTCCTGACTTCCTTTCCAGGACCTTTTCCATTACAATAATCTTTATTCTTATAAAAGCATTAAAAATGCTATACAAAAAATGTTTTACATTACACAAAATTTACAGGGAAAAATAACCACTGAATGACCCCAGCACCCTATAACAGCCATTGTTATTTGGTGTGTTTTACTATGCTTAAAAATGCAGTCAAACGTATACTGTGTATTTAAAACAAAATTTTATAGTTTTTCTAGAATTTTGTCAGTTTGTGTAGCTTTGAAGTAATTATAATACGGTTAGAATGAGATTCTTTACTCTGTAATAATGCATACCTCTCCAAGGTGTTTATTCTGCTATGTCGAAGCAATCACTCAGTAGGGCAGAATCTGGAGAGAAATCAGACAAGGAAAACAGGACCAAGAAGTAAAATCTTAAATTCTATGATTTTAGGGTTGGAAGGGACCTTATATTATCATCTTGTTCCATGTGCACATTAGAATTAGGAAAATAAGAGCTACTCAAATTAAGTGCTTACTCCATATGAAGTAGGTAGAGAATGTTAAGCTAGGACCAGAATCCAGTTTTTAACCCTACTCAGGTGGTCTTCCCACTGTACAATTATTCACTGAGCATTCACGTCCCTAACAGCATGTCGCATCATGAGGGATATAAAATAAGACATGGCCTCCATTCTCGGGTGGCTTAACTGTTAGACCAGTTTCAAGATTTTACAGTAAATACTGGCTTTGCTAATAAACAAACACAAAGCCACATAGCCCAATGAGGTTTTATCAAATATTTTATTTGAAACGTAACCTGGCGATTTTTACAGCATTGCAGCCCACTGCTTTTGAGGCTTCTCTGATTGGACTGTATTTATCCACATTCATTAGTGGGTGGATGGTCTTAAAGCCCTTAACCCACAGGGCTCTTTCTTCTGTGGTCTTAAAGGTATGAAATAATTTTTTGTTTTGAAGAGGCAATTTGACCAAGTTGACAAGTCATTGTGTATGTGTGTGTGTACATATATATAATTACGGCCAGAGTTACACATTTAAAAAGAAACTGGAGCAGGGCCAGAAAGGGAGGAATAACACTCTAGAAAGGGACAAATTACTCCTTTTGCAGGATACACAGACAGCACCTTCCAGGTCCTTTATGCAAGGGACAATAAGCTCTGGTCTATGTTAGTGCTAGCGAAGCAGAAGTCTTTTATGGAACCCTGATACAGATGAAACAGATTCTCTCCTATCCCGACAGTACTAGAAATGCCATACTGTGCTGTTTGCCCATCTCCAAGTGAAACTACCAGGCCCACAGATCCTGGTACAGGGACCATAGGACCTTCCCTCCTGACTACAGCTAAGTGAACCAAGATGAGCATGTATCCCAAGGGCAGCCAATCCAAGGGCTGTCTGGAAGCTTCTGAGGCTTGTTATAGAAAGAGGAACTGGGCCAGATGCCACACCTTAGAATCTGAACTAAGAAAAACGAAGAGAATCAGAGCCACATGGTGTCATGGCACACCGAAACTTGCGGGAGCCAGGAGGTACAGAAAAGAGAGTAAAAGAATAGGCTAAACAGAAGCAAAAGATGGTAGGAAAAAGCTGACACCAAGCAATCACGTGCTTCTGTAGAGCAGCCTCAGTTCTTGACTTTCCACCTCAAGCTCAGCCTGCTTTATGACCCTCTCTCTGGTTGGTCCCGTACACCTTTCCTGATGGCTGCCATTCTGACACCTATGTGTCAGGCTCTGTGCTAAGCACATTCACAGGTTCCCCCTAAGCCCTGATACCTCAGAGACATAGGTCTCATTTTCCGTTTTACAGATAAGGAAACTAGGCTCATGGTGGTTAAATAATATGTTACTTCTGATGATGCCAGGACTTGAATTTAGGTCTGACTCAGAGTCCATGCTCTAAACCATGAAACTGTACTAACCCACATGATGTGTCCTTATGTTAAGGCCCTGTGCTCTCCCCATCCCTAACGCCCCAATTTGACCTAACTTGAATATCTTTTGCTTATAAGAGCCTGACACTTCCCTAGTCAAAGAATGTCCTCTGTGTACAAACCCTGACTGCATCCTTCACTATAGATGAAGCAGAGTCAAAGGGATCCACCAAGCACACAGAAAAGACACATACCTGATAATAACCGAGTCTCTGGTCTATAAGAACATTTGGGGGAAAGACTTGTTTTACTCATTGCTACTGAGCAGCCCTCACGCAGCTGTTGAGGATGCTTTTGTCGTCTAAGAAGCTATGATGGGGGGGAGGGACGGGGTTCCCGACCCTCCTCAAGAGGAAATCTGAGCAGAAATTTGGGCTCTCCATCCCATTTGGAATGAACAGATAAAGGAACGCGGGTCCTTTTTTTTTTTTTTTTTTTTTTTATCAACAAGGCTTTTGTGGACTGAGACAGTGAACATTTGTTATTTCCCAGCAAGCCATAGGGTCTTGTCCTGGTTGAGATACACATGGACACTCAAATCTCTCAAAAATGCTCCAGAAAGCAGCTCAGAAGAGTCCTCCAATGGAAACTCTGCAGACGATTATTAATGATGAGGGAAGTGATGTAAAGCCCTGCTCTAGCTAGAGCCCAGCTATGGTGTCGCCAATATCAAATATCCAGCAGAAAGGAGCAGAGTCATCTTCTTTCACTTTCTGGACAAGCAATCAACTTCCATTTATTTTCACATCTGTGGCTGAATCAGAGGTTCATCTAATGGTGATGATGAAAAACTTAGTCAGCAAAGTGTGGATCTGGTTATAGTCAACATCTGGATCCACTCTGAGGAGATAGGGCCCATTCACGTGAGAGAGTAGACTTCTTGCCCAGAGGGCAGACTGATGAAGAGCACGGTTCTGGGTTTTCCTCTTTCGTATCTTGTCTGGTCATGACAACCAATACTCAGGTACTTCAACTGCAGAGTTAACTGCATGGTTTCTCTCAGGAGCCTTTGATGGGCCAAGAGTTTCTCCTCTACACACCTAAACCTTGCTGTTGGACTTTATCTTTTCCACTGATCCATTTTACTTCTCTACCCTTGAAGCTTAAGGAAACAAACTCTAACTTAGAGCTAGCCTGGAGTTCTACCTGATGGAGGATTGGTGGAGGCAAAGGAGAGACCAGAACGTACAATAGTTGAACCCCTAGTTTGTATGAGGCCTGAGGGTTAGGATAACACCTACTTCCATCTTTCTAGCACAGCCCTGCCCATCCCCTTTCATTCAGCTTCTTGCCTCATTGGTATTTGAACTGTGTTCACTTCTTGCCAAAGTTTGGCCACAGTTCCTTGCAGAAGGGACTGTAGGATCTATTTGCAGCATCCTAACCCACAGGGCTCTCTCATTAATAAGCTCTGTGTCCTCAGTAAATCTTTAAGTAAAAAAGGATTTTCCATGTTATCTAGTCCAACATCACACCTAGCGTAGGAACGCCTTCTCCAGCACACTGTGGCAAATGCTTAAACCCATTCAGAAAAGGGAGCTCACCACCTAAAGTGAGCACTTTGACTCTTCGCCCTTTTCATTAGAGAGATCAAGGTGCAAACCAGAGCTGGATCTCACCCTCAAGTTCCTAGTGGGTTCACTCTAGTGAAACCGGAACCCTGGCTTTGGGATTCCCAGAACATCCAAATTTTCCCATAGCATGGGTCCACATTCTAGCTAAAAAACTCTTAATCGCAATATGCCAGGGTTCTGCTCATCATCTGACTTGGTTTGTTTCATACCCTTGGGTTTTTTCATCTCCTTCAGACTAAGTTATGACAGCAGACTAGGTCTCACACACATTTCTTAGGTCTCCCATGATCCCCGGTTATTGTGAAAGTCACAGAGCATATGTTTTATGAATGTTATGATCCTACAGTGCAGCATGTTCAGACAGAGCCTTCCCGGAGCAAAGCTAGCCAGGGTAACCACACTTTTTCCTAGTGTGGTTACCCATAACTAGGTAGGATGAAGGTTGGGCTAGGTGATAAGGAAAAAATGAGTCCTTCCCTTATCACTTCATTAAGAAAGTGTCCTGTCTAAATACTCACAGACGCTGTTCCAGCCATCTTAGGAAGATTCAGGGGAAATGAGAGAGTGCAGGAATAAACAGCTTTTCTGCCCAAGACTTATAGCTTCTGCATTTTTTCTGTTTTCTACCTCAGGCTCCAAGCAAGAGTAAAACAACAAATCAAATTGATTTCAGTCAAGTTTCAGCAAGAATGTCTCTGCTTTGATTTTGCTGTCTTATTTGCCTGTGCCTGGATAGAAGCCAGACTAGAGATAGGATTTTGGCAGGAGAAGGAATGCATCACAAGATTTTTTTTTTTTTTAATTTCTTGGGGCTCACTTTTTCCCTTTCATCAGCCTCATTTTGCAGATGAAAATTTGATATCTGTAAAGGGCAAGGGACTTATGCTGAAGTGCAAAGCCACTTAGGAGTGGGACCAGGCTCAGATGCTTCCAGGTGATTGAAAGACCCCAACAAAAGAACACATGGTCCCTACAAGCGAAACAAGCAGGAAGAGGCTGTCCTTGTCTGTGCGTGGTGCTCTCATTGAGCTAGGAAGTCCCTTAGTCTGTCCACTGCCAATGGGGTAGAGCCAGACGGAGCACACACATACTCTGGTGGCTCAAGAAAGCTGCGTTATAACACTATTATCTCACTACTGAGGAGATGAAAGCTGAGAGTCCACTGCACTTTCTGAAACTCCGTACTGCTTCCAGAAGGTGCTGTGATCTTTTCTACTGATGACTGTCAAGAATATCAGACCAGGAATGGAAAATCCAGCTTATTGGTTTCGAAACAGTAAGAATTTGACATAAATGATTCCAAGAAACTTGGTTCAGGCACAAATTTTAGGCTGTTCTGTCATTTCTCTGGGATCTCTAGCTTTTAAAGCTGGGATTTAACCAGGACCTTGGCAAAGGTTTCTAGCAGTTTAAATGCCACTACGAGCACGACTGCTTCAAATCAAGCTGGTGAAAGTTAAGAACTGTTCTCCTTAAGAAGGTTTTAAAGTCAGATTTCTTGCTCACCCAATATTAAATAAAATGTATTAGAAGAATGAATCTAGGAAACTTGGGAAGGCCATCTTGGTTATTTGGGAGAGGCAGCACATGAGCCTCTGAGCAGACTGGAACTGGTGTCAGGGAGGAACAGGAACATGGACTCAGGCTTTGGCACTTGCTTCTAACCATCAAGGAATTCATGTAAGGCTCAGTTAAACATTCCCGTGCCTCACCATGGGCTTCAAGCTTTGGAGGCTCTTCCCAAACACCTGTCTCTACCTAGAGCTACAATTATTATCAACCTACTACCCTGTGACAGATTACCGGAGGCCAAATCTTGCTTTCCAACCTCCCTGCAACATTCTTATAACTTCTGCTTAGGTAATATTTTTGAAAAGATGGGGATACTGGGCTTCTTTCCAGATCTTTCTGGGTTTCAAAATGTGGTGCTCTTGTAATGTTAAGTTCCAAAACTCAAGCACGTCTCTAGTCAAGTGTATAGGACCCCAAATTCATCAACGTGCCAGATGGTAATTACTGCGGGGCTAGAGGGGCTCTGGGCTCTTCTCTCGCCCAGCTGCGAGCATGGATAACTAGGAAAGGTGGGAGATTTACAAAACTCCCCCTCCACTCCCTTCTCCATACCACTGACTGGCCTCTAGACCTTCAGTGTTAACGCCTAGGCCAGAGGTTTCGAGCCCAGTTAGGAGGGGACCTGGGGGGTCAGGCGGCTGTCCAGACGGGTCAGTAACGCCCCCACAGCCGCCACTGTGGCCAGAGCGCAGGTGGTCCTTGAGCGTCTGTTTGTAGCGGAAGCTCCGGCCGCAGTAGGCGCAGGGGTAGGGGCGCTCGCCCGTGTGGATGCGCTGGTGCTTCATGAGGTGGTGCTTGCGGATGAAGCTCTTGCCGCAGTGCGCGCAGCTGAAGGGCCGCTCGCCCGTGTGCAGCCGCCGATGGTTCAGCAGGTGCTCCTTGCGCATAAAGCTCTTACTGCAGTCAGTGCACGGGTAAGGACGCTCGCCTGTGTGGATCATCTGGTGGCGAATGAGGGCCGAGTGGCCGTTGAAGTCAATGCCACACTGCGGGCAGGAGAAAGGCCGCTCCTGCGCGTGCCCTCGCTGGTGGAGCAGCAGGCTGATCTTCAGGCTGAAGCTCCTGCCGCACTGCGCGCAGCGGAAGGGCCTCTCGCTGGCGTGGGCTCGCCGGTGGCTGGTGAGGCGGGCCTGGTCGGCGAAGCGCTTCGGGCAGTCGGGACAGGGGAAAGGGCGCTCAGTGCTGTTATGGACCCGGAGGTGGTAGGTAAGTCTTGACGGGTGAGTGAAAGTCCTGGCACAGTGAGGGCAGGTTGGGGGTGTCTCACCGGTTTGGGCCTGGGAGTTGCTGCTGAGGTCGGCCTGCTGAGGAAAGTGCTTCGGGCACTGGGCACAGGGTAAGGGGTGCTCACCAGTGTGGCTACATTGGTGGGTCAGCAACATGTCTTGGCTGAGGCTCTTGCCACAGTGGTGGCATGAGAACACCTGCTCCCCCGCTGGAGGCGGGAGGGGGTAGCTTCCCAACTGAGTAAAAGTCACCTGTCCCTCGGAGGCTTCGGCCAGGTCTGGGGCTGGACGTCCAAAAGTTGTCACGGATGCAGACTGCTGGCTTTTGAAAGCCACATCCGAAAAAGTATCCTTTGCTGCTGCTGGTGAAGAGAAGGTGACTGGAACCTCGGGGCACAGGGAGGCTCTAGCTAGGCCTTCAGCTTTGATGACCAGCTCTTCATCTGAAAGAAAGGGCTCAGAGTCATACCTGTCAACTCCCGTCTCACAGCAACTCCTGGTATTCCCGCCCTGCTCCAACAGACTGCCCTGAGGTGAGCCCTTAACTGTCTCGGATAAGAAATTCAGTGGAGGCTGAGAGAATCATCAAGGCATCTGTAGACCCTTGGCAAATCATCACGGAATTTACTACTGCACCTCTTCAGTGCTCCCAGTTTGGAAAAGGAAAAACCTGGGCATCAGTCTTCCCAGCATTACTTTCATTACATTTCTCCTCTTCTCACGACCTTTGAAAGACTCTCTGTTGCCTATTGTGACAAGGCCTAAAATCACGTATTTATCTATTCCTCTTCCTCTTCATTCTGCCAGGTAACTCCTTCACTGTAGTCAGCTGTCTCTTTACTTTCCCTGAAAATAAAGTACACCTTTCTGCTTTGACATCTTTGCTCATTCTGTACTCCCATTGTGGAATGCATCCCCTCTCTTCCTGTCTTCCCAAATCATACCCAACCATATCACGCCAGTCTTCTAAGGCCCAATTCTGGCTTCACATTCTTCTTTAGGCCTTATCTCAATATCTAAACTAAAACTGATGTACGTTCTCCAAACTTCTCATTTCTTTTTCATAAGTCATCCATCCCACTCACCCTTGACCTTGAACAACAGGCATGCCTAGCATTGGTACATGTGTCCCCAATATAAATTTCTTGAAGAACAGAAACTCTTCTTTTTAATTTTTATTTCCTAGAATCTAAAAGAACACAGGGCATAGAAGATATTAAAAAACAGGTTGCATTAAGTTATAGAAACGATTGGGTCCCTTCGGACCTTGAGATTCTCTTCTATAATTCAAATGGCAAAATACAGCTGGTCCTAAATATCTTAGAAGGAAGATATTTCTTTTCTCATCATTGTTTTTCTTGAGGGAGAGCTCTTCATTAACATTCCCATTTGCGCCTCTCCAATGACATTTTTGTCTCCATTGCTTGTGTCACCCCCTCCCCCCATTTTGTTCTATCCTTTCTACAGGATCTTCAAATATTCTTCTGTCTTTCCCCATCTTCATACTTTTGGTCCATCTGTATGCACTTATTTTCTTCCTCTGACAATTCTAATTTGTCTTTACACTTAAGAGTGTTTTCTCACTTAAAATTTATCTTAGGGGCGGGCCCGGTGGCACAAGCAGTTAAGTGCACGAACTCCACTGTGGCGGCCCAGGGTTTGCCGGTTCAGATCCCAGGCGTGCACCAACGCACTGCTTGTCAAGCCATGCTGTGGCAGCGTCCCATATAAAGTGGAGGAAGATGGGCACAGATGTTAGCCCAGGGCCAGTCTTCCTCAGCAAAAAAAGAGGAGGATTGGCAGATGTTAGCACAGGGCTGATCTCCTCACACACACAAAAAAATTTATCTTAGTTTCATTTCTAACTTACTTGAGTGTTTCCCCCCTCCTTCCCCATTCTTCTCCCACTTCGGGCTCCACACCCCATTTGATCTGCTGTTTCCTCAGTCAGTCCTGGCATAAGCTGGATCTGGGCTTGGATGTCTCTTCCATTACTCACCAGCATAGGTGCCTTTGTATACGTCACTCTCCTTGGACGCCTGTGGGGCCCCAGCCTGGGGCTCTTCCTCTTGTTTAATCCAAGACAGAATATCTGATGTTGAAATGCCAGGCTCTATTTGTGGGGGAAAAAAGAGAATGGCCTTCAGGGGCTTGACTCAGAAAGCGACATAATCATGTGAGTTTGTTGAACACTATTTTGTCCAAATATTTATCTCTAACTAACCATAACAACAAAACTGAACCAGCCTTTAAAAAATGCATACAACATCTGGAAAATCAGGTCAAAATGAAACCAAATTTATGTATTTTTACATGATATACTCAGCCTGATTCACTATTTTCAGTGAGCCCATTTCAAAACAAATCAATTTTTATTTTGGAGATGATACTCTGAAATAATCTAGAATCAATACTACCTTTCATTTCATTAACACACTTATTTTCAAAATGTTTTCACTTTTTTCTCTCATAGCTTTTTTATGAAATAATGAAGCAGGGAATATTTTCTTCATTTAAGTAGAGGGGGTCCAGGGGCCGGCCCTGTGGCCGAGTGGTTAAAGTTCCACACACTCTGCTTCAGCTGGCCAAGGTTCGCGGGTTGAGATCCCCGGCACGGACCTACTCTGCTCATGATCCCACATACAAAATAGAGGAAGATTAGCACAGATGTTAGCTCAGGGCCAATCTTCCTCCAGCAAAAAAACAGCAGGACTGGCAACAATGTTAGCTCAGGGCGAATCTCCCTCACCAAAAAAAAAATTAAATAAATAAAAAAAATAAGTAGAGGGGGCCGATAAGGAAGTACTTACAGTGAAACGCCATATTATCAAAGGTCTGCTTTAAAATACAGCAGGAAAAAAAGCAAAAGAAACAAGACTGACAAAAAAAGTCTTTCTTAAATATTAATTAAAAAAACAACTACATTTCCAGAATTACAAAGTTAGCTCAGTTTAAACACAGATCTGACTGTTCAGAAACATACTTTTCAGGTTCCCAATTCTGGGCTCTTTCTAAGAGATCATACCACCTTTGCCTATTAAATGATAGAGGTCATTGTCTCCTAAACCCTGGGGCAGGGAAGAATAGTATTTGCAAGTCCCTCAGGCCTTGGGGATTCTTTTCAAAAGAAAAAAAGAACAGCCTCTAAGGCTCTGGACGTAACACGCCTCATGTGGTCAGCACAGGAACAGCTGTGCTTGCTATTCCAGCCGAGGCCTGTAGAGCCTCGTTTGGCCTAAAAGGACAAGCTGGCAAGCTGACAAGGTCCAGAGAGTAAATTGAAGCTCCCTCTATTATTTTTCAAAAAAGCCTTGTGGGCAGGTTATGGTTTTATTACTAGCAAATGAACAGAACCCACTGTTTTGCCCAATGCCTTTCCAATCAGTTAGAGACCACTGAAATCTAAAGGTGCCCAAAGCAGAAATAAGAGGTTGGACAAGACTAAGGCCCCAAAGACTGTCTCGCCCTGCAGGTTGCCTCTCCAGCTTCCCACTCTCAGCCACAAGGCGGAAGTGTATTAAACGTAGTCCCACCTTATCTTTTCTCCCAGATTTTATACACACATATATATAAAGAAAAAAGCAGGCAGGGGAGTCTGGGTATAAGGAAGAGGATCTTTTAACAGACATCCAGAGGATGAACTTTCTATTCATCAAAAATATGAGACTTTTAAAATGCTTAACTGCTTCCTTCATCCATTTTCTGAATAATGAGTTAGTACCCTGGAAACCTACAAATGTGATTTAAGTGGTTTTGACTTTTTTTTTTTGGTTTATCATTATGAACTCATAGAATGTTATTTGATGAGTTTCAGTCCACTGCAGTCATTATTCTTTTAAATGCTCAAATTGTCCCTTCTTTGGCCAGTGGGAGCCCCTTCAGATCAGCTCTATGTCTTTTCATGTCATCGAACATCTAGTTTCCTTCATTTCTGGTATGACAGACTATCCCAGGTTCATCTGGTACATTTCTGCTCCAGGGACACAACCAACCATCTCTCCAAGAAATGGAATTTAGAGACCAAGGATGCTAATGCTAATGGGTTGTTGTTGCTTCTAAGTCTTTTCAATGGACAGAGCTATAAAATACACACCTTTTAGAAACAGAAAAGTGTCATAAGAGCTTATATTAATATTTATGATTCACATTTAAGATTACAAGGTTTTAATTAAATCCTTTGATTTTATATTTGTATATTTTCTCTCTTATCCTGAAAATCTTGGTTCCTAATGATATTAACATAATCTTTGCTTTATCTGAATATATGTTTCAAAATAATACCAATATTATTAACAAAAAAATGAACTCAATTTAAGATTTTTTTTGTGGTTCTTCTAGTCTTTAGGATATATCCCTCTAGGGATATATAGTTATGTTTTAAAGTCATTTGAAAGAAATCTACTTTATATATTTATGTCACCAACATAATAAATGGTTTAGTTATTTCACCATGTATTTGATTTTTTAAAGTTAATTTTGTTTTTTAATTATGTAAAATATTTACAAGGCTCTAGCTTCCATCTTTAATCTCTCTCTCCCTGTATAGGTAGCCATTCTTATTGGTTTTTGTTTTAAACTTTCATTGTTTGTGAAAATATAAGCAAATATGTATACATCTTCGTATTTCCCCTCTTTATGTGGCATACTACACTGTTCCGTTCTTGGATTTTTTTACTTAACAATATATTCTGGACATCCGTCTACAGCAGTCTACAGAGAATTTTCTCATTCCTTTTTGTAGCTGTACCACTGTTTATTCAAGAGTCCTCTATTGATGGGCATTTGGATTCTTTCCAATCTTTTGTTACGATATTAGTCAGCAGCCAACCATAAAAACTATGGAGGGCTAAAAAAAACAAGCCAGTTCTCTAGAAGTATAAGTGCCTATTGTTATTACCGCCCACTAGCTGAGTATGTCTTCATTTAACTTGGGAAGCCACAGGAAGCTAACTGCTCTTTTTGAATGATGATGCTGAAAGCTCCTCTGGCCAATTAACCAACTAGATCAGTACTACAAGTATTTATTTTACTAAATAATTGGTCCTCAGTACTACTGTCATAGAATGCATAGAATACGGCAGTGTCTGCTACAGTCTGGTGGGAGTGGTGGGACTGTCTAACCTAAGGACCTTCTGGCAATGAAATAAAGGGAGCAGGAGCATTTGAACACTAAGACTGCCTGATACAGTCACCAGCGTGGTGACAGGATGGCAACTGCTGGCCAAGTCACCACAATGGCACTCAAAGCACATTCCTCACAGGCCTGAGGAATCCCAACAGTGGATACTTAAAGAGACACAAAATGAAAGTAAAATCATTGGTTCATGCAAGCAGCAGGCTTTGGAGAAAGCTAGGGAATGGAGAAAAACTCAAGACTGATCAGGTAAGAGGAAGTCGATAAATGCTGAGGTGTTAGGTTTAAGAGGTGGTTAAAAATAGAAAGGCCGGTAACAAGAAAATATAAAATTTTAATGTCTACACTGGTTGAATGTTATTTTAACTATGAGGAACTCGGATTTTGTGTGTGTATGTGTATCTTTTAAACAGACAAGGGTCTATGCTGTCTGAAAAGGAGCTGGAACCTTGAGGTTCTGGGATGTGTACGAAGGTGTTATAAACAGAGTGAGTTAAAACTGGTGCTGAGATCTGACTCCTTAAGCAGATAATAAAAAATACTTGACACATGAGACTATCGTTGGTAAAAAACTATCATTGGGTTTTGTTTTTTTTTTTAACTTTTTGTGAAACAGGTAAGGGACTGTAACATAGCCAGGTGAATGTGTTAAGTATTTGTGTAATAAGTTGAAACCCCTAAGTTTTCTCATTTCCAGGATGATTCTTGTTCTCAAATAGGTTAAACTAAAATAAAAGGATTATCATATTGGAATGTGCCTTGATCACTTATTTTGTTTAGGAAAAGATGGCCTTGCTGGACCAGAGTGAACAAGGATAAACATGAGATAATGATGATGTATCTGAAACAACAATGATCAAAGAAGTCTCCCCAGGGCTACAAGTTTCAGAAATTAATTTATTTTACTTTTGGGTCATTCTAAAATCTTGGCTTGAGTCCTTGGCTTCTGAACTAGAAGGTCTAGATAATAGACTTTCAGTAATTATTCCATCTGAACTTCCTGGGTAAAGTTTTTCTCCGAAAAATTCTAAAAAATTGGAGTTCGATATTAAAACTATCAGTGACCAAATAATGACCACACACACACACCTAGTCTACAGTTTAGCCCTGGTAATAGAGTTAACGAGTTTTAGAAAATCTCAAGTTTATATTTTTCTGTATTCTCACATTCACTACTACTCTCTACTAATTGTTTGCAATTTTATCTAAGATAGTACACATCAATGCCTGTTCCCTAAGAGGATATAATAATTTCTCTTTCCCTTCATTGGATTCAAATGATGATGATGGAGACAGAGTATAAAATTAATTCCAAGACATTTGGACATAAAAAGGAAGGGATGCCACATGGAACCATTACTATCCCCAAATCTATTCTACCTATATATTTTTATTTAATTATAATGCATGGTTCTTAAAGTTCTAAAATGGGATACTATAATAAATTAGGGGTTTTATAAGAAATATGGATAAAATCCAAATGTATTTTAGAAAATTACAGTTTCTAAAACTACATCAATATTCTAACATAAACACACTGATCTAACAACAAATTACATGGCATATTAAAATTGGTTAACAGGGCCAGCCCCATGGCTTAGCGGTTAAGTGCGCGCGCTCCGCTACTGGTGGCCTGGGTTCGGATCCCGGGTGCGCACCGAGGCACCGCTTGTCCGGCCATGCTGAGGCCCGCCCGCGTCCCACATACAGCAACTAGAAGGATGTCCAACTATGACATACAACTATCTACTGGGGCTTTGCGGAAAAAAAATAATAATGAAAAATTATTTAAATAAAGGACAGAAATTATTGAGATTACAAAAAATAAAATAAAAAAAATAAATAAAATTGGTTAACAAAGATGATGTTAGAGAAAAGAGAAGCCGCTTACTTACTCAAACATAAAAGTTTTGATTTGTTTTTTTTTTCTATTAGAACAAGATGAAAAAAATGATTTAAATGGCTAGAGTTAAGTGGAGAATAATCTATCAAAAAGATATTTTATTAATTCTGTCACTAAAGTGGCTTAGCATTAGTATCCTCTGCCTAGTAGTCGTGTGGAACAATCTGTTATGAACCTCAGTGACCAGACAGTTGACTACTATTCTCCATTGAAAGGAACTAGGACATATTTAATGTGTTAGAAGGAAAATCTAAAATAGGCCTGTGTTAGCACAGCAGGCCTGAGACTGCTGAGACTTAGGAAAGCCTGCTTGCAAGGTTGGCCCTGGGCTGGCAAACAGTTCCCTGTGCTGATATAAAACTTTCCCTAAATGTTAAGAGTGCCTCACGGGCCTAAACTGTTTGTACAAAGTGTGGTTTATGCTGAACATCCGCCTTCCTTCTGGGATTCTGGAATTTTGGGATGTGCTAGGCAGAGGGTGCCATGACCAGCTCCCAGTGAAAACCCTGGGCACTGAGTCTCCAATGAGCTTCTCAGGAGACAACACTCTGCATGTGTTGTCACAGCTCCTTGCTGGAGGAGTTAAGTGTGTCCTGTGAGACTCTACTGAGCAAGGACTCTGGAAGCCTGCCCCTGGTTTCCTCCAGACTCCGCCCTGTGCGCCTTTCATCTTCACTGATTTTGTTTTGTATCCCTTCACTGTGATAAATCTAGCCATAAACATGACTATATGCTGAGTCTTGTGTGTCCTGCTAGCAAATTACCAAATCTGGGGGTGGTGTTGGGGATCCCCAACATAGCCTGGAACATATTTTTTTAAGAAAACAAGTACTAAGGCAGTACTGGAAGGACACAAGACTCAGTTTAAAAGTCTTCTCACTTGCCAAGTTGACAATTTGAGCAACCAAAAGAAAATAATTGAATTAAATGAATAAAAATTCATGAATATATAATTAAATCTAAAAGGGGGAAAATTTAAAGGGTTCTGAAGGATAAATACATTTGAGGGTTTTTTTTAAATTCTATATATTGATCCATTCAAGTCATATGAATCCTATCTTTAAGTTCCGGTAAATATCTAGGTTGATAATCATCAAAGCAAGCTAAAACTATAAAGAATCAAACCAGAGTATTAAGTAAATTCAATGCTTACACTGTTGTTAATTTTAAGTAAAAATGTATTAATGTATATAGGTTGACTACCCACAAATGGAGTGGTAAAAACCAAGGTAAAAATAAATTGACAAGATGGCAGCTAAGTGAAACTTTCATATATCATTACAAAACCAAATTACTTACATCTTTTCCATTTGTCCCCAAAAATAAAATGACACACTCATTTAAACTCACTGAGGACTACGTCAGGTAACTAATAAAGTAGACTATGGAGTTATTTCCAACAATGAATCTTTCTGTAATCAAGTCACCCATCTTTATTTAAGATTTTAGAATCATTATTTATATCCATGATGGAGATTAATCAAATTCGACCTGTTACAGTGCCTGAACACAATCACCCATACATTCTTAGAAATAATATAATGTGTGGCAGATATATGCATTCCTCAAAACTCAGAGAATGTTCACTTAAGATTTGAGCACTTCATTGTTTGTAAAATTTACCTCAAAAGGAAAAAAATACACAAATGTTGAACTCTAGCTTAATGATATTCATGCTGAACTATTTAGGGAGAAATGTATTGATGTCTCTATTGATTTTGAAATACACTGAAAATAAGATGGGTTGATAGATAGATAGAAGGATGCAGAGATAGACAAATACGTGATAAAATGTTAGTGGTAAAATCTAGGTAGTAGGTATCTAGGTGTTCACTGTAAATTATTTTAACTTTTCTGATTGTTTGAAAATTTTCATAATAAAATGTTAGAAAAAAATAACAGTGCATGGGACAGGAGGTGGGTTGTAAGAGAAGTTCATCTAATAGGGATGTCTAGAGGATGAACTTTCTGTGAGCTCTCTACAAGCAAAAACAAAAATTGTATGAGATTTTTCTGAGAGCAGAGGTGGGACTTGAGAGAAATAATACAACTGGACTTTGGCTAGCAGTCTTCCCCATACAATATCAAGCAGCTGCCAACCAAAAAAATTATGGAGAGTTAACGACAGCTGGCTCCCAAACCAGGCAAAATCCGCTTTGCCCAGGTGGATGTCATTGGGGTCCGCTGGTTAAGTGCATCTCTGAGGGACTGTGCAGACTCCCAGCCCCTCCAGCACTTCTGAACCGCCAAGTGCACATTCCCTCAAGCCCTTCCCTTCAGATAAGCATGACTGCTTCCACTGCCATCTAAGGACTTTGTTTTTTACTAAATATTTAGGTCTCAGAACCTTTATCATAACCCTCACATGTGTGGTATTGATGGGTGAAGGTACTGGACAAGGTGATCTCTAAGCTCTCCCTCCTGTTTAAATGCCTGATGATCCATTCACAGTCTAGTTGCTTCAGCACTGAGAGGCTCTAGAAGTCCAAGCCCTGCTAACTTAGTGCGGAGCCATCATCCCTGACCAGGAAAGAGAGATAAGGAGTAGATAATCTCTTCTCCCACTTACCTTCACTGGGGTCTGTGGGAATCTCACTTTCCTCTGGCCCTGCCTGGTCCTCTGTATTATGGTCTCCTTCTGGCTGAATCTGAGATAAGACATCAGGTTGATTCATGGCGTAATCTAGGAGAGGAAGAAGGGAAAGAGGGTATGACAAAGAGATCAATGAGGATGATACTAATTGCCATCAAGGCTGCACTGAAGGCTTTGAGGTCCACAGTCCCAGGAAATTACTTTTAGATTCTGTTCACTTTCCCCATCAATTCACGTCCAATATGGAAGAGATCTATCAGGAAAGCAGGTGAGAAGAGAGATAAGGTGTGGGAAAGGTCCATGTGCTACTTCAGCACCTGCCACCTGCTGCTTTCATTGGGTAAGAGTGACAGTGTGCCTGTCACTGGGGAAATCAAGGCCCTTTCAAAGTGAAGGATACCCATGGAAACCTCTGCAGCTGGCACACCCATAACCCTGAACTTCCTTCTCTGTCCTGTGAACTGGCAAAGGAGAAATGACAATTTCCTATTTAGCAAGAGTGAATTAGAAGTCTTTGGCTTGGAATCAGAATCTGAAGGGTGTGAGGACCGAGTGAGAATGAGGACCACTGGAGGAAAAGGGACTGTTCTGAGCCCTCTTGGAGCTGCTGTCACCTCATTCAAAAGGTGCCACTTAGCCTCACCCATGGAGATGAGAGACTCGTAGTTGCCCTTCATGATATTCTTGTAAAGTTCCTTTTGCCATTCTTCTAATTTTTCCCACTCTGGAGTGGAAAAGTAGATGGAGATATCATCAAACGTCACAGGCACCTGAAATTACAATCACACTGGGGTTAGTCCCTCCCACTGCAGTTTGGTCATTCAATAAATCTTTACTAAGTGCCTACTAGGTACAAAAAACTGCAAGATGCTAAAAGGATACAGGAAAAACTTGAGACAGATCCAACCTCCAGGAGTTGACAACGTTTTCAAGAAGAAAGGCGATAAACTTTAGGGCTATGAGTTTTGAGAGGGGGGAGGACATTACTGGTAAACTGTCACTCGCAGACGTAGGTACAAATGCAAAGCAGTATTTAATTCACACAACACAACATATATATATATTTTTTGAGGAAGATTGGCCCTGAGCTAACATCTGTTGCCAATCTTCCTCCTTTTTTTCCGTTTTTCTCCCCAAAGCCCCAGTAGATGGTTGCATGTCATAGTTGTACATCCTTCTAGTTGCTCTATGTGGGACGCTGCCTCAGCATGGCTTGATGAGCAGTGTATAGGTCTGCGCCCAGGATCCGAACTCACAAACCCCGGGCCACCGAAGCGGAGCACGTGAACTTAACCACTACATCACTGGGCGGGCCCCACAATATATTCTTTTTTTTTTTTTTTAAGATTTTATTTATTCAGTTTTTTCCCCCCAAAGCCCCAGTAGATAGTTGTATGTCATAGGTTCACATCCTTCTAGTTGCTGTACGTGGGACTCGGCCTCACGTTGGATGGAGAAGTGGTGCCTCGGGGCGCTCCCGGGATCCGAACCCGGGCCGCCAGCATCAGAGCGCACACACTTAACCGCTAAGCCACGGAGCCGGCCCCCCACAATATATTCTTAATATCTACTAAGTACCAGGTTTATCCTAAGCACCAAGATTATAAAAATATGGTTTCTGCCCAAAAGGAGTGTATGACTGTATTCCAGTTAATGACATGGACAGGAAATTTTCGAAATAGAGCTATAATGGGACTGAGATGAGTCCAGAAGAGATGGGACTTTGGCTGGTCCTAAAGGACAGGCAGGTTATAAACAGGCCTAATGGGAATGGGAAAAACATTTAAGCATGGAAAATTGGAGAGTGCATTCAGAGGACAATTATGAATTCTATCTAGTTGGAGTCACGGTTGCATGTAGAGAATGATCATATACAAAACAGAATCCCCCCACCTTCCATCATAGTTTCATCTAAAGCTAGGTGCTTATCCCGAGGCAAAAACTGGAAGGTTCTGTAAAGAAATACAAGAGTTGCCTGGGGAATTGAAGGTACCTAGTACTGAGAATCTCACCTAGCATAAGCTTTCCTCATTCTGGTGTTTAGCTATTCATCATAATCATGGCTAGCTCTTCCTCCTCCTACCTGGCAGCTTTCTCCAGTTTTATTCTTAAATATGAGCTAACAACTAAGTATCAATAACCATTTAGAGAAAATATGCCCCATGAACAAGAAAGACTAAAATAAAAGGAGGGAAAAAATGTGGAAAAAAACAGAAATACTTAGGTAATAGAATTAAAAAAAAAAAACTAAAACCTAATGAGAATTCCCATAAAGATTTGAGAGATATTGCACCCATAAAATAAAAACAGGATGCTATGGGAAAGGGACAATCATAGAACAAGAAAGACTTGTGGTAACTAAGATATATATACATATATTTTTTTCTAAAATTAAGAGATTCAATAAAAATATACATACTTATCGTCACAAACTTAACATAGCCTTTAAGATTCAAAGATCTATACAATACTATTAGGCAACTGTATTTTTTTCTAACTGCTTCATTTGTGTCATCTTTTTCTCCCCAACTAGAAATTTTGTTCCCTAGGGGCTAGAACCATAGATTACTCATTTTTACATCCTGCTCAGGAACTAAAATCAGGCTGAGGGCAAGTGTAGATACTCAATAGAGAGTTTATTTTTATCTAACCTCACTACACAAAACATTTGTCATAGCTTACAGTAAAAACACATACGATAAAATGATGACAGCAATCAAGGAACGGTGGGCTTCTGGTTCAAGACTGTGAATAAGCACACGTGGCCTTCCCTTCCCTCCCAGACTCCACTGAAACGACAGTACATGAGATCAGGGGGGACTATATCTACAACGCTACCAAGAATGAGAAGGAAGGCCATCACTAGTCAGAGTTTCTGATCAGTGTCTCACGGAGACCCAGAGGATGGGCATGTGCTGGGGTCTAAGGTGTGCGAGGAAGCTGCATCTCCCTGATGCACAGGGAAGGACTGCAGTGGAGGAATCCAGAGAATTCCAAGCTCAAGGCTGGCAGATACTCCGCATAGGAGTAAAAGTGGCTGTAAACTGCAGTTTGAAGTTCTATCTTTAGAAGCAGGTCCCCCTCTCTTGTCTTCCTCATCAGCCCTGGCAGAGCGAGCAATATTTACCCCAAAGCTGAAACCAAAGACCTCATCTCTACAGAAATTTCACAACCTGCCTGGAGACAGCACAGGATCCCAGTATGGGAACTGACAGCTTAGAGTACTGCCTTACTCCTTCTGGCCTCTGGGTGGTCCCTGCACTGCCTATTTGCTCCTTGCCGAAGCACCTTAAAGTGAAGCCCACCTACATGGAACACCTATGGAGAGAGCCCTCTCCTGCAAAGGAAAGATCCTGTGGTTAAACAGACTTAAGCGGTGGCAGAGAAAACATGTCAGCTTCCTATGATTAACATAAGTAATCAATCTAATCCTTCACTCATAAATATGAACAAACAACCAAGGATTACTCAATATTTTGAAGAAAAGTAACAGCACCAAGATGAACAAACACTACAAATGATCCTAAAGGGGAAAAAAATCAATAAACTAAAATTCAAACAAACCTCTAACCCATATTGCCAAAGAAATTTAGTAGATATTGCATCCATTAAAAAAAATTCAGTGCGCTTTAAAGGAGCAGAAAATAAGTACTCTTGAAAATTAAATATATAATTGTTAAAAATTAGAAAGCCTGGAAAGAAAGGTCAAGGAACTCTAGTTAAAAAGGTAAAAAATATGAAGGAAAAGTTAAAGAGACAAAGACAATAATCCATCATCTGTCAAACCGCAGTTCCAGAAAGAAAACAGAAAAAATGGATGTGTGTGTGTGAAATATTATAAAAATAGATTCATAGAAGAAAATTTCCCAGAGCTGAAAAGATACCATTCTTCTGATTGACAGGTGACACCAAGGGTCCAACACAAATTTAAAAACAGCTATACCCAGACATATCTTCAACAAATTTTAGAAAAACAAATAGAAGATAAAATCTTCCAGGGAGAAAAAATGGATTTCTTACAAACAAATGATAATCAGTTTGGTATTAAACTTTTCATCAATGGCATTTGGTGTTACGAGACAATGGACCAATACCTTTAAAATTCTGAGGAAAATGGAATATTATTCAGCCTGAAAAAGGAAGGAAATTCTGACATGCTACAACATGGATAAACCTGGAAGGTGTTATGCTAAGAGAAATAAGCCAGTCACAAAAGGACAAAAATTGTGTGATTTCACTTATATGAGGTACCTGGAGTAGTTAAATTCACAGAGATGCAAAGCAGAATGGTGGTTGCCAAGGGCTGGGGTTAGGGGGAATGAGATGTTTAATGGGGACAGAGTTTCAGTTTGGGAAGTTCTAGGGATGGATAGTGGTGGTGGTTGCACAACAATGTGAATGTACTTAATGCCACTGAACTGTACACTTAAACACGGTTAAAATGGTAAATTTTGTTATGTATATTTACAATTTAAAAAATTAAAATTAAGAAAAAAAATCTGCAGGAAAATTATTTTGAACTTGGCATTCAAATGTAAGGGCAGATTGGGGCTGGCCCCTGGCGTAGCGGGTAAGTATGCGCGCTCCGCTGCTGGCTGCCGTGGTTCGGATCCCAGGCACGCAGCAACGCACCGCTTGTCAGGCCATGCTGTAGCAGAGCCCCACATAAAGTGGAGGAAGATCATCGGATGTTAGCTCAGGGCCAGTCTTCCTCAGCAAAAAGAGGAGGACTGGCATGGATGTTAGCTCACAGCTGATCTTCCTCACAAAAATAAAGATGAAAAAATAATAAAGGTTATTAAAAAAAAAAAAGTAAGGGCCGATTAAGAGCATTTTCAAAAAGCAAGGACACAAAAATTTACTTCCCATATTTCAATCTAGTAACTCTTCAATATATTCTAATTTCATGAAGAAATCACAACATTACATGATTTTGGAGTTTAAGAAGGACAGGTTGAATGTTATCCATTTATCCAGGTAAAACAATAAGTAACTTGAACTTACCTTTTCTGCTATTCTTATGGCAAAAACTAAGTTTAAATTATCCCAAAGAACTTCTGGAGGGGCTCCAGATACACAAATAAACACACTAGGGCAGGTTGTCTGTCCAGTACTGCCTCTGATATCCCTTCCAGCTACCTCGTCTCTGCTCCCCTTCGCAAATCTTGCAAGAGCCCTTCACGGTCCTCCATTTTCTCTCTTCCCAATCTCTCCCCGCCCGCTCCGTTCAGTCTTCCATCCCCACTTCACCGCACTGAAACAACTCCTGCAGGGTCACCAGCGACGTCTGTGTTGCCAAATCATATTCACTATCTTCCTCTTTCTAGACCTCTCAGAGGACAACTCTCTCCTTGAAATGCTTTTCTCCTCGTCCCTGTGACCCCACATACTGCCTGTCTTGTTTCTTTTCCCACCTCACTGGCCACTCCCCCTCAGTCTCCTCTGCTGGCTCCTCCTACCCCTGGAGCTGGTCCTGGGACGACTCCTGCTTCTCCACTTTCTTCCTGAGGTCATCACTTCCAGTGGCACGACTCACAACACCATCTGGAGGTCGACTCCCAAATATTTCTCACCTCTGAGCTTCTGAGACCACTTCACATCTCTCCTGAGTGTATCACAGGCATCTCCAACCTAACACTGCAAAGGAGAACACCCAATTCCTTCCCGCACCCAAGATATCCCCATCTCAGTAGATGCCAACACCATCCATCTGGTTCTTCAAGCCAAAAGCCTAAGAGTCAGTAAACCTAAGGTGGTTAAGAGCATGTGCCCTGGAGCCAACTGGGTTACAAGACAACTCTGTTATTTATATTTAGTAACTATATAAACCCAAGTTAGGGTTCTTAGGAAATAACAAAAGAACAGTAAAATTCAAAGTAAATTATCACACAGTAAATTTACAATTATTGTTCTTAATTCTTCCTTCCCTAATTCCCATCAGTAAGTCTTATTGTCAATTCTACCATCAAAACACCCTGAATTGGGGGGGCCAGCCCGGTGGTGTAGTGGTTAAGTTTGTGCACTCTGCTTCAGTGGCCCCGGGGTTCGCAGGTTCAGATCCAGGGCGCAGACATACTCACGGCTTATCAAGCCATGCTGAGGCAGCATCTCATATAAAGTAGAGGAAGATGGGCACGGATGTGAGCCCACGGCCAGTCTTCCTCAGCAAAAAGAGGGGGATTGGCAACAGATGTTAGCTCAGAGCTAATCTCCCTGCGCCAAAAAAAAACACCCTGAATCTGTCCACTCATCTCCATTACTGCTACTCTCATCCCTCCTATTATAGCTGCCTATTCTTTTTCTTCTTGCTTCTGTTCTTACCCCCATGATCCATTCTCCACAAAGTAGCCAAAGTGATTCTTTCAAAATACAAGCCAGTATAACTCCTCTGCTTAAAACCCTGCAATTTCTTCCCATTACACCTAAGATAAAATCCAAACCTCTCACCTTGGTCTCCAATGCCCTACCCAGTGGTTCATAACTCTAGCTGCATATTAGAATCAGCTGTGGAGCTTTAAGAATTATTACTGCTTCAGCCCCATTCTGGACCTATTAAATCAGAATCTCTAGGTGTGATGCCCATCAAAATTTTAAAAGCCCCCCCACCCACCCTAATGATTCCCATGTACAGCCAGGGCTGAAAAACACTGCCCTAAACCATCTGCCTCCTCCTCACTTCTCCAGTCATGCCCCTTTACTCACTGTACACCAGCCTACTGGCCTTCTTCCTTTCCCTCAGTGTTCCTAGTTTCTTTGTGCCTTCGGGACTTTGCGCTAGGTATTCTTTCTGCCTGGAAAGCTCTTCCTCAGATCTCACAGTTGGGTCCTTCCTGTTATTTAGTCTCAACCTAAATATTAGCTCCTTTATGAGAACTTCTCTGATACCCAATCTAAAATAAATCACCAGATAGCACTTTTATTTTTTATCAAAGCACTTAAATGGACATAAGTTTTTCTTTGTTTATGTTATCTTTCTTTCCCCACTAAAATTTAAACTCCAGGGGAGCTTTAGTGACTTGTTCACTGCTGTGCCTTCAGGATGTAGATATCAAGCAAATAGTAAGTGTTCAAGAAATATGTGTTGAATGAATGAATGAATAAGCAGGCATGCTTGGAAACTAGCTGGCTCAAGGCTGTCTTCCATCGTTTAGGAATGATGTATATTTCCTTTTGTTTTATGGGCTATTCACTCCAGAAAGGCTGGGCCCTAGCATTGCAGCACACTTCTGTGAAGGATGCTGAACGGCAGGATCTACATCAGTTCTAGACCTACAGATGGCCCTAAACCCTTATATTAACCATTTACTCTACATACATTCCCTTCTCCTCCCTCTAACTTTTCACCAGAATTGCCAACAAATTCAAATTGACTGATTTAAATGATATTTAATTTAGTTTCCACACCAAGATTGTGGCAGACAGGTTAACAAAGGGAAAAGTGACTCGGGGGTAATGGGCAGGAGAAAGCAAAAGAGACCTATCTGCCAGATAGCCAACTTGGGATTAAGAAGAGTTTTCCAACCTGAAGTTCAACACTTCAAATGGTCGCTAAATTGAACATGGAATGCTCCCCAGATAGATAAACACAAAACAACTTCATAGTTCCTTTGGCCTAACTGATCGACCAAGACTATCCCTTACTACTAGTGTAAGGACTAGTGGGACCACTTTCCATCTAGAAGTGAAGGTATTACCTTTGGGATATCCCCTTTAATACCCGGGGGCAGCCGCAGGATCCAGAAGTTCCTGTTTCTCAGGAGGTTCTCCAAGTTCTCCAGCCGCCTCTGCAGCAGCCCATACTCCTGCAGCAGGGTCCCCAGCACGGCCCACTTGCCCTCCAGCTGGTTCCCAAGATCGGCCACTGTCTTTTCACAGCTGGCTAGCTTCTTCTCTGCTGTCCCTGTCCGTCCTTCTAGATGCAGGAGTCGCCGGCTGTGGACTTCCACCTTTCTCTCTATAGCCTGCACGGCGGCCACCACTGTCCACAGGGAGATGGCTGCAGTCTGCAGGTGTGCCTCATTTGCTGCTGGGGGTGTGGGAAGAGGAAGGGGCTGCAGGGACGTAAGGCATTCGGAGTCCCATTCAGAAGTCTGTGTGCAGTGGAGAGATGAGACAAGACACTGAATGTTAGAAGGAGCCCTAATCCAAACTAAAATCAGATAAGGACCGCTTAAACTGGCCGGCTGAGATTAATCTAAATATAGTTTTAGTACCACCTGCATAAGCCTCGTCTTTATGGGGCTCATCGGCATCAAAAGCCAAGAGAACTGCTTTGGTGGTTCAGGGATGGATTAGGTAAGGCAGTGAATGAGTGAAGCTGGATCAAGAACCAGCCTGACATATTCCCTGGGATGTAAGGCCCTAGAGCCAACTGTCCAGAGGCTCAAGTTGTTGCTGCATCCTCTCTCTCTGGAAAAGGCCTAAGTGCATCAGGATCTTTCCAGGTTTCACTGAGCTCAGTGCCCTCTGATAAACCCCTTATTGACTTATGCTGTGGCCCTGTCCACCACCCTGCTTACAAACCACAACCATACCATTCAGTAATACTTAAGCTGAGAATGTTGAGTCTGGAGAAGACATGACAGCTATTTTCAAACATTTGAGGCTTAATAACAGAAAGCAGAACAGGCTTGTTTAATCTTATATTGTGTTACTCCAGAGGGCAGAACTAGAACCAACATGGAATTTTCAGGCAGGCAAACCTTGGCCTATATAAATAATTTTGGAACTAGATCTTTCCAAGAAAATAACAGGCTGCCCTAACACTGAATGTACTTCAAAACAGAGTGCATTTAAAAAAAAGAAATTTCTACAAAAAATAAAAGGCTTGACAGGCATGACCTCTACAAAGCCTTTCGACTCTATGAATTTGATAACGTGCTCTCTGGCCACCACCTCCCATCTCTCCAGCTCACCCACTACCTTTTTCTCATTTCACCTGCTCTGCAATCCCACTAAACCCTTGACCATTCCATTTGCTCCTGGTTTATCAGCCTGCTCCAGGCTTTCCTTTCTTCCTTGGTTGATCATTTCAGCCACCTTCAGCCCCTTCACTCATCTGTCTTTGTGCCTCACCTGCTCAGCTAACCCCTAGATTTGAATCAGTCCGATCGTTCTCATTCTCCGTTCCTGTTAGCAGGCTGGTAAGCCCTACTAAAGGAAGTCACAGAACCGGGTAAACTGGTGTCACCACAGACCAATGGTGTCTAAGCTCAGCAGGGACTCAACACTGCCTGGTGCCCCCATGCTTCTTTTCCCATTCCATCTAGTGGCCACTAGAACCCCTGCGCCCGCAGTCTCCTTAAATTTTAGTACAGCACTTCTCAAACTAATGTGCATAAGAATCATCTGGAGATCTTGTTGAAATGCAGACTTTGATTCCGTAGGTCTGGGAGAAAATTGAGATCCTGCAGTTTTAACAAGCTCCCAGGTGATTGTGATGCTGCTGGCTCAGGGAACATGCGTTGAGTAGTAAGATGCCTGTCCACTGCAGGCCCCCTCACTCTGAGGAGATGACATGGACTCCTACTTTGAGAAGACAATTAGAGTAACTAGACCAAACTCTCTCAACTTTCTCTTCTTTTTCTTCACACTCCTTCCCACTTCAAACTCTTCAGTAACTTAATCTTGCTTTCTTCTTTCCTTCCCACAGGAAAAAGGTTCATTCTATTTAAAATTGATCTCTCCACTTAAGCTCTGAATGCCAACTCTTTCCACATTTTTAGGTACATTCTTCTTCTTTTTTATGGTCAATATTTCAATCTCTCTTGATTCTTCTCCATAAGATGGACCTACACTGTTCAATATGGTAGCCACATGTGGCTACTGAGCACTTGAAATATGGTTTTGATTGAGATGTGCCATGAGTATAAAATACACTGGAGGGGCCAGCCGTGTGGCACAAGTGGTTAAGTGTGTGCCCTCTGCAGCGCCGGCCGGGGTTCGCCGGTTGGGGGCCCGGTGTGCACGACGCACCGCTTGTCAGGCCATGCTGTGGCGGGGTCCCATACAAAGTGGAGGAAGATGGGCACAGACGTTAGCCCAGGGCCAGGCTTCCTCAGCAAACAAGAGGAGGATTGGCAGATGTTAGCACAGGGCTGATCTTCCTCACACACAAAAAATAAAGTAAAATACACTGGAGATTTTGAAGGTTTAGTATGGGGGAAAACGTAAAACTTCATTAATAATTTAATATTGATTCCACATTGAAATATTTTGTATGCATTGGGTTAAATATCATTAAAATTCATTTTATCTATTTCTTTTTACTTTTTAAACATGACTACTAGAAAATTTAAAGATCTATATGTGGCTTCCATTATAGTTCCACTGGACAGGGCTAGCATAGACGCATGATCATCTCTACCATATTAAAAAAAAAAAAGGTTGGAAAAGGAAAAAGAGGTCCAACGGCAGAGATGGTATTCCCCTCTGCTCTATTCCCCACCCCACTGATGCGGCTCTCTTCTTCCTCCTCTTCCTCCTCCTCTCACTTTCCAGTCACTCCTCGGTAGCACAGCTTGACCACTAAAATGGCTCTCCTTGGGGTGACCAAAGGCTTCTCAGTTGGCAAATCCAGGGCATACTTTTCAGCCCTCTGTTACTCGCCTGGTCCCCGCTCATGCTACCCGCGTCGGGGGTGCAGGGACGGCCTCGGTCATCTCTGCAGCACCAGCAACTGGCGGGGGGCCTGGCCCACCGCGGCCTGCGGTCAGCGTCCTGCGGTCAACGTCCTGCGGTCAACGTCGGCTGAATGAACAGACGCGCAGCAGGCGCGCCGCCCTCGGAACCCGGCCCGCGTTCCTGCAGCGTGCCGACCGAGGCCCTCCTGTGTGTCCGGCACTGGCATGTGCTGGGCAGTCCTTCAACACACCGAGTGTCACCGTCACCACCGCCTCCGTGGCTGAGCGAGGCTCAGGCGGACCGCGCTGCGGGAGATTCTGTGAGGACGGCTCCCAGAGCCGAGGCTGACGACCGCACAGCCCCCGCCTGCGTCTGGCGGGCTGTGGAGCGCGGACACCGAGCGGAGGCGCCCCTCTTCACGCATCCTCTCTCAGGAACGTCCCAGGCTCTCCCCGCTAGAAGCCTCTAGAAGGGCTGGGACGCCCTGGCCTCGCAGCCGGCGCGGGATCTCACGGAGGGAGGCGGCGAGCCCTCCCAGCCCCGCGCCGGCGGCGTCCCACCCGGCCACCGGGCCCTCCCCGGCCCTCCCC